ATACAAACAGTACACCAATTACACTTGAACCAGAAATGGCAAAAAGAGCATGAATGAATCACACATCAGACACGACAGTCTGAAGAGAGACAGCGGAGTCACATGCAAAAAAGACTCAGAGTAAACACATCTGTTGCTCTCCTGCCTTTTACCAAGATTCTACTTCAGTGCCTGCATGTATCCTAAAAGCACATTTCACAATCCTGACATCAGTTTATGGAAACCGCAAAGCATGGAAACTACCCACCAAGCTGAGTTAGGAATCTTTTGGCAGAGATACAGATACGTATTGACAAGAAAAAGAATTTAACCTTATTTGGAAAAACCAGGAATTGACTCTAACTATACTTGCACTGCAATTATTGCTGCTAGAACTGAGAGAAGCTTTCCAACGTACATTAACATCCTAAATGAGAGAATTATGAAATATATTCTTCACAATTGAGGTCTTCCAGTTTCCAGTCTGATATGACATTAGAAGTATTTGATAAGTATGTGGAGAAAAAGTTACTGTGTTGAAAGTATTTAGCATTATTTATAATGATTAAGAAACAAAACAACTAAGTGAAATATTTGAAATGCTTAAGGCTTTCTCTTTAAGGAAGTCACTCATTTCACCTTGTCCTGAAGATGAAGCTCGTCTGGGGATGAATTTGAGGCCTCTTCAGTAAGCTGTAACCAAACCTTCCACCAAAGGAGGAGCTCACACAGAGCACAGAAAGATGTGTTTTGGTTATGCTGAAATTCATTAGTCCAGCCTGGCTGCTTTCCATTGGCCTTAGCAAGAGCCTAATCTGACCGAAGACTAAAGAGTTGGATCTTGCTTTTGAAGTTCATTGCTACAAATTAAATGCTTCTACTTTTCTTAATTAGTGTTTGTCAAACACGTGCTTTTTATAATATATCTGAAAAGGGGAAGACTCCCTTAGGATTCACATGTAGTTCTCTGCCTTTATTTCAATAACACTTATGCTCCATTTCCTATTCCCAAAAGAATGGTGGAAATGCTGAAGAAGATAATGAAGTCACTGCCATCTTTCCAGTTCCAGTTGTTTTCTAAACTATTAGTTGCCTTTCTACTATAATTCAGGCCATGAAAAGGGGGAAAAAAACGTAAGTTGTCTCTTTTTCCCCTCTGTTTGATACATTAATAAGAACTAAAAGAAAACCAATCAAATATCCATGTGGTAATTGAGGAAAAACAGACTTATTTTGAGCAATGCAAAGCTTAGCACACCTATTAGATCAACAATGCAAGTTTGCCTCCTCCTTTTAATTTACCACTTGGCCATAGATAAGACCTCGATAACTCAAAAGGTGGGCCCATGTAAACCTACTGAGGCTCAACAAAGCAAAGTGCAGGGTTTTGCAGTTGGGTCAGAGTCATCACAGATGCATATACAGACTGGGAGAACTCCTGGAGTGTAGCCTTATAAACATGAGAAATCAACTTTCTCTTTACAAGGATAGATAGCGATAGGACACGGGTGAATGGCTTTAAACTAAAGGAAGGAAGATATAGATTAGATGTCAGGGGAAGTTTTTCACTAAGAGGGTGGTGATGGAACAGGTTGCCCAGGGAGGTTTTATATGCCTCACTCCTGGAGGTGTGCAAGGCCAGGCTGGATGGGGCCCTGGGCAACCTGCTCTAGTACTTCACCTAGTGGTTGGCAACCCTACTTACAGCGGGGGGTGGAACTTGATGATCCTAGAGGTCTCTTCCAACATGAGCCATTCTATAGATCTATGAAGATGACACATAAATGAAATAGGTCAAGTAAACCATTAAATATGAAGTACATGATTTCCAGTGACATTGCACATTTATGCTATATCAGTACTTCACAGTCCCAAATGAAATGAGTCTAGGATTGGTCTCATAAGGAGGCGATCTTTCACCCTGTCTCGAACCTTGAGTTGTGGAAAATACTACTGCTTAAGTGAACCATGCTATACCAGAGACCTTGTTTCTGCCTGCTCTCAGTAACTGCAGTCATCACTGCACAGCAGCAGGAGCACCACAAAGGTTATTATTCCCAGGTGGAAAGGAGAATTGCTGCCTACCCTACTTTGTCTGAATGACAGCCCAATTTGTAGAAGTCTGCTCACACTACAGATTTCATCACCTCAGCATCCTCTAGCACCCAGCAAAAGCATTGCCATCTAAGTGTCTCTTCAGCAATTAAAATAGTAATGGAAACAGAATGTGAAAGGCTTAAGCTTAATAAACCATTGAGTTTTACAATCAGAAAAACTGAAAATGATGACTACTAAAAGAAATCCAGAATGATGAGAGCATACTGCTCTTATTAACTGGCACATACGAGCAGACAATTGCTGCTCCAGGCAGTGAAGCACCACACTACTACTTTAAGTGTTCTCCAGCTGTCTAACAGCCTGCAGCCAGCCCTCCTCACCCATTCCTTCTTTCAAAGAACTTCTCTCCACTTCAGTGTTCTTCCTGCAACTGGCAGCTGCACCAGCCCTGATCTGAACTGACTACATACACACAAACTGAAAGCAAAAATAACAAACATGGGAGGAACCCTAAAAAGAGCAAACATTTTTGTCACTGTAGTATAGTAGATGGCATTTAAAGTAAGCATTCAGCTCTCTACTATTCTATGATGATGCTGAAATTTAAAAAGAAAGAGATAACATTAGGCATAAAGAACAGAAAATGAAGGGGTAGCCAAGCTGTATTCAGACTAGTGAGCTATGTAATAGGGGTGCTTTACTCAATTAAAAAACTAAACAAAATAAAAAAGCCTATGGTTGTTACTGAGCTGTCCCAGGCAAGCAGCAGTTTAGTTCATCGTTTTCCCATGCATGTCCAGTTACAACACAGTAAATATATCTTCCTCCCCTCACAAAATTCTATGCTAAGTTATTGTTAGCACATTTTAGCCTAGCCCAATAACAAATGAAGTAGTCCAAAATAAGCACAGCCATAACAATGAAAGGTTTGAAACTATGTACCAAGCTAATGTGGGTAGAATGTATCTGATATGGACAGAAGACTTGCTGATACTATTTCACAGGTTAACTGTTCACTTTCATAAAAGCTGATAAGAATAAGCATATCCAATGATCTCTGTTAGCAGATGCAGGCACAACAGCGATTCTAACCATCAGAAAACAAGCCATCTTTTGCATCAACTTTCCCAAACTGTTTTATCTCAGCCTTTGCACTGAGGCTGCTCTGCCTCTGAGCCATGCAGGAGCTTAGACTTGCATGGTAACTGCAAAGCATTCAATAAAAGGAGCCCGTGAGCAACCCAGGTATTTGAAGGTTTGTAACTTACTGAGAGAAGGAAAAACAACAGCGACAGCTTTCTTGACACATTACAAGAGGCAAGAAGGTTGGTTTTTTTTTTTTTCCCTGCCACCAATGGCTGCCAGAAGAAATCCTGAAGAAGATACAAAGGCCTCTTTTTCCACAGTGAGTAAATTCTGAGTGAGTAAATTTTACACCTATATTTCTGCTCTGACTTGTCACATGAGGGCAGTCTCTTTTATGAAGGCCAGTAGCTTCAAGGTGGGGCTTGAATAAACTGAATGCTAGTAGCACCACAGAGCCACACAGGTAAGGTACCATCTCCTCCTGTTTGAATAGCAGTGAGATGAAATACTATGGTCACCAGAAAAGCTGGTACAAGTGTCAGGCAGTTGCTCGTGAAAACAAGAGAAGGAAGAGGGCTAGAGACTGTTATTCACGTGCACATAGTATGGAAGCATTTCATATGTCACATCTCAAACACTGGGTTGTCACATGTTCCTTATGTACAGTTTAATATTTTACCAGCAGCATACTGGTGTAGTTGTTACAGATGGTAATGCGCTCAGTGAAAATACATATTGATAATCGAATATAACAACATATTTAGACTCCTTGTGCTGACTTTGGGCTCATTTAGGCAACGTACAATTCTGAAGCACAGCCGGAGCCACGACAACTCCAGCACCACAACCAGCACGCACAGTAATCCCAGTAGCCTGCTGCCACCAAAAGGAGAAGAGCAGAATTACTGCAGATGGAAAGGCGTAACTTCTATTACCACAGGACCTAACTCAGCAAATTCAACTGCCATAAGGAAGAGACAAATTCGGTATTTTCATCAAGGTGAGGTCTTTGAAAGCCAAAAGCTGGGAGAACCTCCAGGAGCTGATCTTCCCCAGTTTCTCAATGCTTTGAAGTCTGATGGGGTAGGAGGCTGGGAAATACACAACTGAAATGCTGCAAGTCTCCAAGGCCAGCCCTCCAGAGCTTTGTTCTACCTCCTAGGAAGCACCACACAAGGAATTACATTTCTCAAAAAAGTTCACATGATGTGAAAGCAGTACAGTAACATGACTGTTCCATGAAATAAATTGGGCACCTTAGAAAGGGATCAAATGATCGTAAACGTTCTGCAGAAAACTACACAGTTCTACGGAAGAAATGGATCATTAAGACAGCTTTTATAAATAAATCAGGAGTATACAAAGATCTGGGGGGGGTAGGAGGGGGCAATTAAATACTTGTTGCTGCAGTAAATTCTATGGCCTCTATTTTACCTCCCTGCTTTCCTCGTGCTCCAGAAATTACCAAGCTTTGCACATATGGAATGTGGGAGGGCACGTGGAAGCCCTTTACCTTCACCAAGCCCTGATACAATGAAGTGGTTGATTTACCATACTGACTTCTGATTACTACTTGGAGGACACTGAGTACCACGGAATTAAATATTCACAAGGGCAATGCAACTTTCTGCCTCTAACCACGAACCGACAGCACACGGATATAACAGAGAAAAAACTCATCATCCCATCTAACGTAGGTGCTCACACCCCTACAAGGTCAGCAAAAGTCGTAAGACAGGGAGTCTTTTCCACACTGGCAATACAAAGGACCTCGGCCCTCCCTTCTGGCTGCTCGACACCGCACCCGGGTGTTAATGACGCCCAGCCAGGGCTGCGCTCCCCCTCATGGCCCCGCCCGCCCGCCCGCCCGCTGCTACCTGCAGCAGGCCGCCCATCTTGGCGCGCAAGGCGCGGAACTCCTCCGGCGCCGCCTCGGGGTAGAGCTGCCCGCGCAGCAGCTCCTCCGTGATGTCGGCCTTGCCGTAGTAGGCGGCCTGCGCGATGCCGCCCAGCAGCGCGCTCAGCGCCTTGCTGCCATCGGCCGCCGGCGGCTGCTGCTCGGCCGCCGCCATGTTGGAGGGGCGGCCCGCGCCTCAGTCCCCGCCTCGGGAAGGGATGCCGCCGCACCGCCTCACTGGGCGCCACCCGGGTGGGACGGGCCTGGGCGCTGGGTCGCTGGGATAGGAAGCGTGTTTTGAAGCTTTAAAGCGGCTGCAGACGCAGGAGATGAACCTCGGTCAGATGGACTGTTCTGCGGGCACCCAGTTCCTGCTTCTGACCAAAATGCCAAAAACCCTTGGAAGGCAGCGTATGAACCAAAACAGAGTTCGTATTTAGCCTTCGAGAATGAGATACTAAATGAATTCATGACTTAAGAACTCAGTGTCTGCCTTCCATACTTAAGAGGGCCTGCTCAGAGCATGCAAAGCAATGGCCATGCTGCCTAAATCAGCACGTTTACTACTGCAAAGTAGAAAAAAAAAGTGGAAGCAATGATTCGTGTTAAGCGCCTTCCAGCAGCTCTGTGCATTTAAGTTGTGTATGCCTTATCTGAACAGGCAAGCAGAAAAAATACAACTCCCCAGATTGAGCCTCCACTGATTTTTGAGTGCAGAAACTGGTTGGGATAAAAGGAAGCTGGGAAGGCAGAAGAAAGAGAAGAGCAGGCAACATAAGCTGCCTGAACTGCAGAACTGCTATGCATGGCCCCGTATCACTAGCTACAGGCAACAGTTCACACAAGGATGGCTCAACCCCTCAGAACATCTCCTTGCAATCTCATCCTAGGAAGAAGCAGCTTGCTGGGGTGATGATCTGGTACAGCCTTGAACAGCATACTGCTCATGAGCCAGAGTAACCGCACAAGGGACAGCTGCAACCCAGACAGGGAATCAGGGACCCTGGTCACTTTACACAACAGCCTTTTGCTGCTCAGAACTGCTATAATCACTTTCACACCTCTTCTGGGCAGTAGCAACAACTTCTGGCTATAAAGATGTGGAGAAAGGGATACATTGCCTACAGATTTCTCCAGAACAACCAGAAATGTGTGTTTTTTCCTAAGGAAAAAGAATGTTCCTGATACTGCCTAAAATATAAAAGCAATTCACTTACTCCTGCTGACTCTTGGAGTTTCAGACTATCTTCTTTCTTCTGCAGAGGACTGAGTCTGTATTAAGTCACTGAAGCTCCCTGCCAGTTGACTTCACCACATAGAAGCAGCGCTACAACATCCACCCATGCTGATCCAGCAGCTTCAGCCTTAAGTTGAAGATCTGTTTTAATTGAATGGTTAAAGAAAGTAAACACTTCCCAGCCCTTGTATCTGCTGAGATGCAGTTCTATTCACCAGGATGCTGTAAACTGTGCAGCTGCTCCCCCTCTCTTCTCCTACTTCATGACTACATCCATTTTGTCCTTAGAAGGAAAAACTTGAATCAAAACAGCTCAATAGTTGTGATCAAGCCAGAAGGTAACTTCTGCCACTGAGGAGGCACAAAGGTGAGAAGCGCTGACAGGGAACCAAGTGCACTTTGCACACCACAGCACTAGTGCAGAAGTTCGGGCTCACTCAGACAAACATTCAAGCAAATGAGCACTACTAAGAGTAATCAGGATTACTGCTTCAGGTCACCTCACCAGGAGATAACCTTCAATTCCTTACCATGGTATCACATTCTGTAAGCCAGGCATAAACAGAACTAAGAAAAAAACGGTTTTGTTTAGTTGATTTTATTGTTACATATTGATAACACATTGACACAGCTGATATCAGAGCAAACCCTTATGGGACAACTAAGTGCCACAATGCACGTTATAGAACTGAAGATCAGTGTGAAGCAGCACAACATCTGGTTTAAAAAAAAAAAGTCAGATGTCATGAAACCGTGTATTATTAGACTTCACTTAAAGAATCTTGAGAGGCCAAGAGATCACAAGCTTCCCAAAGCACAAGAAAAGCTATGTGCAGCTCCTCGGTCGTCCCATCAGAACTAACCCCACGAGGGACTCTTTGCAAATTCAGTGTTTCAATGTTCTACGTATTTTATATTCTTCATTGTAAGAGAGCACAATAAGCTGATCTATTCTACACACACATATACTGCTTCACTCTTTTGGGGCAAAATTACAATCACATTTTCCTATAGCTTTTAACAGCTATTTCAACCAGAATATATACACATGTATACAAAATGCCAAAATTAGGGCTTAAAGTAATTTCAGAGAAGTTTCCCAATTCAGCTGTTTGTGCTCTTTATTTCAAAATCCAAAGTGCCAAATACAAGTAGCAAGAGTTTCCACTATTGCAATCTAACAACAACAAAAAAAAAAAAAAAGAGGTGGGGATGAAGAACGATCCCACTTATCCATGGGAATTTGGAGAAATCATTTAAAGACACTTGAATTCATTTCAGAGGGCAGGAGTACATTTACAGTAGTAGCTGCACAGCTCACGTGGCCAGAGTTTCCAAATTAATTTTTAAACTGTCATTAGCAAGAACTGAGTGTACAGCTGTTGACAATTTAACATAACTCAGAAACAGACAACTGCACTGATACCAAATTTCTTAATGCATAATCATATTTGAAAAATATACAAAAGCCAAAGTTATTACAGGAAATTAAAACCCAGTTTTAAAAAGTGCACAGTAAAAACTGAAGGTAATTACAAACTATCCACAGAGTATACGTGTCCTGGTTTAGAGACAACACCAAGTTCTATCTGTTGGAAGTGCTAAATATTTTAAAGCCATGTACAGCACCAAATCAGTTCACACGAGACCCAACACCACCCTGCTTTCCGTAACAAGAGGCACCAGACAGTATCTGCACTCTCTTCAGCAGCAGCCTCCACAGACAGCTGATGAGCTGGGAGCTATCGGGTTTTGTTCTTTTTAGAGTTTCCCTGCAACAAGAAGCAACCAGTGAATACAATATATAATTCACTAAGAACACCTACACAGGAAACGTACAACCCAGGGTCTGATAATTTATGCCTACAGCAAGCAAAGGAGCACTGTAAAGCTGAAGATAAGCAGTACTGCTTCAAGTGCTTACTCTGAAAATCCCTCTGTGCTTACAGCCATAACACAGGAAAGTACCAGAGCTTTCAAACAAGCACAAGAACACCTTAATTTAATTGAAAATTATGAAAAAGACATTGAGTTGCATCCCACAACACTCAACTGTATTAGCACCATTTATATTGCAAAGCAGACTGAAGGCAGGTCCAGTCCTAATTTGACCCCGAGTGGTATTTCAAATATAAACCTTAGAGAATCAACGAGGCAATCATCCTTCACCCTAACGTTTTGTCCCAAAACAAATTTAACTTTAGCTTGGACTAAACATTTGTACTTGAGAAAAGGATTTGTGTTACAACAACTTTCTTACATCTAACTTCCAACAACTCTACAATGCAAACACACAGCTTAAAAAAAAAAAAAAGCACAGTAGTTTCTTTTTTACTCTTTCCTTAAAATAACATTTGTTTTTAAACCTAACCAACAAATCTGTTCAAATGATAATGGCTTTAAGCTATATCACTTTCAACTGAGTTGTTTTCTATGCTTGGTAGCATCTGAAATACAAAAACAAGTGTTTATTATTGGGAGATTAAAAGTCACTTCCTTAAAGACAGCGTATCCTTTCAAGTTTTGAAATTATGAGAAGTGAAAAATCCACAATTATTTTTTGTATATTTTCATGTTTTATAACAACATGAAATGCTATGAGCAGTGTACAGCTTCTTAAGAGCTCATACACCAAGAAATAGTCCTGAAGAGCCTGGTCAACTTCAAAGTTTAGATATCTGAAGAACTTGAAAGAATAAAAGAGATAAAACCACAGTAAAGGAGCTCTAATCTAAACACAGATTTCTCTTCCCCTCGCTGAAACCTGCTTCCCTGCATTCCACAATAAAGGAGGATTATTCATTTCATAACAAAACGAATGAAAGATAAAGACCTTCACAATGTATATTCCTTCCCAGAACCCCCAGGACAGGATGTACCATGGTGTAAGCACCCTCTGTTCTAAACAGCAGACTTCCACTTTTTTCATCATTAAGGTACATTGGAAAACCTTGCCTCTGGGTAAATGGATGGTTCCCTGCTTGAAAAAAGCTCAAGTGTGGTTTAAGAAAGTTCACAGAATGAAGCAAGTTTTTCATTCCTACATGAAAGAAACAGACAACCCAGACTATGGAAATAAAACAGAGCAGGAAGAAAATTGCCAAGAACCAAGTAGCTGCAACTAGGGTAAGAGCACAGGACAACGTGCATGACCAGACTTGGAGTTTTCTTTCCAGCTGGCCCAGGATAGAAACCACAGCTTGTGGATTGATTTGTGAAAGGGTATTACTGCAGCCATGGCAAAGGTAAACACAGAGCTCCCAACTACAGCCAGCATCTAGTGTCAACACTTGGCAACTGACCTTACTAGTCATCTTTAGTGTGTCAATTTCTTCCCTTTGTTTAGTTAGAGTCTCATTCATACTGCAGAGATGGTCACTCATCATACTTAACTGATCCTCATAACTTCTCTTTGTCGTCATCAACTCATCCTAGGGGGAAAAAGAAAAAGAAGTCAGCAGTTTGAAGCCTTTGTTCAATGTAAGAAAACGGCTGCTTTGCCAGTTGGTCCCATCTCTGCTGGAAGGTAAATGCAAGTAAGCCACACCATTGAAAAATATCACAAAAAGCCCATAGGTCCCCTTTTACCTGAAGACTCGTGTATTGCCTGTCACCCTTAATTTTGATTGGTTTCCTTAATAATTTTCCCAACTCTTTATAGCTTACATGAAAGTTGAACAGCTACATTTTCCAATATCACTTCTAGCCAAGTAACAAGTAAAATCTATAGGGTTAAAAAACACCACATGTACATGAACAAGTGTGGTAGATGAAGCTCAAGGAGTCAGCAACCCATATATATTTGCAGTGTGACTGTGCCTCTAGAATTAGAGATATGGAAAACCTGTGCACTACTTGAACATAGCAATGACTAGATACAGACCATAAACACAGACAGGATAGGAAGGGGAGGAGTTGCACTCAATACAAATGCATGGTTTAAACACACGATGTTATAATTGGTACCTGTATACTTCAGTAATCTTCCCCTCACAGAGGGAAATAAGGCTAAAACAATCCTGTGCTTACACATACAGAAAACACATTTTTATAAAGCAGCCTTGACAGCGGGCTAAAAACACAGGCTTGGCCACTACAACCATTTCCTTGCAAGGATCTTCCACTTCAAGTGTGTTATTTCCATCTAGTCTCCACATACCTCTATTTCTTACACCATATTACTAAGGACCGAAAAAGCACAACTGCAGCTTAGAGGTTTCTTCCCCTTCCCCTTATACACAATTACCTTAACAAGCACATCTATTGCATCACTTAACATCTTACTTGCCTGTAATCTACTGATGCTTTGACTAGCCAGTTTCAACTCTTCTGTGAGTGATTCCTTGGACTTCTCTGCTAAAGACAGTCTTTTGGCAAGTGCTCGACACTGGCAGTTAGAGCAGCAAAGGGAAGACAGAAGGGAAGGAAGTTAGTTCCAAAGTGTTATATTGTGCCATCTTTAAAAGCTTCGAGTGTTTCCATCTTTTTGTAATCCTCAGATATCAAGAAACTTACTCAGAATCTGCGCAGTTTTAAATACAAAGATAATGCAATAAGTTTACTGTTAATTGTTTTTATTTTACAGATTTTCCATATTATTAAGTGTTCTGTTTTCATCCCATTCCTGCTAGGAAATATTTCATAGAAAGCAACACAAACATCTCACTTTGTACATTATTCAAGTATCATACAAAGAAGGCTTACTATGTCATCCACTATCAAAAATTAATTTTTAGAAGTTGCTGTTAATCCCACAAGAAATATTCACTATGTACAAGAATTACTTCTTGACCTAAAGTGAAAAGAGGAAGCTAGAGAGACCATGAATTATTTTATTAATTCTTAAGTACAAAAAAAAAAAGAAAAGATTCTCAAGGGAGCTATTTTCATTTCTTCATGATACATTCAAGTATTGAATGTTCCCAGCATCGCTTTAAGCTGAAACCAAAAATAGCCTTTTTGGCTAACTAAAACCAGCCACTTCAATTTATATCAACAGACCAATACACAATACACATTTTAATTCTTAAGCTTTTTTCAGCCTTACTGGGTGACATTTTTCCTCCTGTTGTTTAAAGTCTTTCTATAACATCCATTTTTATGCATACAAGACCACAGCCAAAAAAATGTACTGCATAAACACATTTTTCCTGGAATACATACCATAGATTTAACACTTGCTCATGGAAAATTCAGAAGGGGATTTACTGTTTTCAGTAGAAACAACTGTATTCTCACCTCTGCATGAAAGTGTACTGATTTGCTGTCAGCAAGCTGTAGATGGGATGTAAGTTCTGCTATTCTTGCCATATAGTGTTTTTTAATCAAGTCTTCACGAGATTCAACATCTGGAATCTTATAAATATAAATGACTGTTTAATTTTTTGTTTTAATAGACTGAATACTTACACCACAACACTGTCCTCTATACTGAATCCCCTTCTGTACTGAGGCCTCCCAGTCATATCCAAAAGCATTTATTTCCCCAGTTCACAACAAATTACAGGAGGTCAGCTCATACTTCCTTTAAGGACCAAGGATGCAAGAGGTTTGCTTACTTTAAGATATGAAGTCTGATGATGAACCCACTGCAAAAGCTCATTCTACCAAATTCAAGAAATCCAAACACTTACTGGCTTTTCTCTTTAAGGAATAATTCTTCTGCATAACTAAATTTCAGAAGCTACTAAACTGTAAGAACTACAACTAATGTCGCACACTCTACAAGATCATTCAAGATATATTTTTGTTTTGTTGTTGATATTTTGTCGGAGCTGCTCCTATGTTTCTTTGAGAACAACTTCTGGTTTGGGATAGCCTGTACTTGTGTTAAATACAGGGCACTTGAGCCAGCGACTTCCTCTCTCCCCAACCTAAACCCCTTTCTCAGGGATTAAGAATTGAGGCTTTGAATCCATTCCTGGTTTCTAAACACAAAAAGCAAGACTCTCCTTCAGGTACAGAGCACAGATCTGGACGAGCTTGCACTGCTCCGAACTGCTAGCACGAATAAGAGCTACAATTCATGACACAGAAGAATATTTAAAAGAAACACAAAAACAAACAGAAATATCATTTTAGAAACCTGAAATACAGTACACAAACTACCTGAGTGACTTCTGTCATTCTACTGTTATTTTTAATAGTTAATTACACCTTTGGAATAACACTGAGTTTTAAATTTTTACTAGATACATTTTGATAACATTTAAAAGAGATTACCTTCTCGTTATCAGTAGTTATAGTCAACATCCCAATCTAAAACAAGGAAGACAATATGCATGTGAAAACTGCAAAAACAGACATCAGTCATAAAAGGACTTCAGTCAAAAACAAATTCTTGTGACAGTTAGAATTAAGTTTAAGCATCTCTACCTGCAACATAAGCAAGGGTGGTGCAATGAACGCCCTGAATAGATTTTAAGGCGACACCAACTCTCCAAAAATGAAATATCCTTTCTACATGTTAGGAGGCTTACAGGGTAACAGCAATGAAATCAAACAAGATCTAGTTAGCTTACCTGATTATAGCTCCTATATTATACACACATGAAAATTAGTGCTTTCGTGTATTGAGATGTCTCTTAATTAGCCAGCTTTAAGAGCAAGGAAATTCACCTTGCATTTCTTGAGTACCTTCTGAATTCTTTTCTCTGCAGTTTGATTAATAAATTACACTGGCAGCTCAGTTTCACATACTCACAAAACTCCAGCTGAGATGTATGTGAATAACAAATTTCACATCTGGCCCTTTACAAAGACATTCTTACATGTTTTCCTTGACCCGAACAGGACTACAGATTAACGTCTATGGGCAATGTTTACATGGTTTACTGACACACCAGTTACAGGAAGCACCAACCAGAAAAAGATGTTCTCCTTAAACTCCTAAAGGATTAAACTCCAAAACTTAACATGACAGTTTATTTCAAAACTGGTTGGCCATGATGACCTTAAAGGTCAAATCTTTTCCAACCTGAATGATCCTATGAAAACAACTCGTTAGTATTTTTGTGGGCTATTATTTACCAACATACAAAGACAAGACAGAATATACGCCATATCCAAAAGCACTGTTGAACCCAAACTCTAAGAACTCATGAAAGTTATGCAAAATTAATGATGCAGTGAACACTGGAAACGTGAATGGCTTCAAGTCCAAATTAGGTTATACTACACTGACCTGTTCTTTCTTAATCCACTTAAAAATACTGATCACCTATTTCTGTTTGCTTTCACACACCTGCAAGTGAAGAAGTCCTGGAAACTCAGAGCCAATCTAAGATATATATACTCCTCGCAAGGCTTCCTAGCTGTAGTCAGAAGAGTCAACAAGTCAAGCACCTATTATTTCCCCCTCAGCCAATCAAGTACAGAACTACATGAATGTTTCTATTAATATCAAGATACTGAACAAAGTCTCGGAAGTCAAGAAGTTCCAAACACTGAGGAGAGCATCAACAAACAGCTTTGCAAATCAGGAGCTTAAGCATGACTGCATTTCAACATCAAAAAACTTTCAATATTAACGTTCCATTGATCAAGTAGTGCTGTTGTCAACTACCATGTTTTTTTTCTATTGAAGTAAGAAGTCACTTACCAGACTAGTACTTTTGATAGGTTCCCTCTGACTCTTCTCTGTAGTTTCCTCCTTTTGTTCAGCTATATTTGATAAAAAAGAACACTCTTGTACAGTTTCAGCTAATTGTCCACTAAGAGAGTTCTTCAGCTTTTGGTTCTCCTTCTCCAGTTTTATTTTTGCTAGCTGGGCCTCCAACATCCAGTGCTCTTTCTCTTGTTCAAGTTTTGCAATTTTCTCCAAACTCTGCTGGACCTTTTGGATGGAAGTTCACAGTGCATCTTACTGAACATAGGAAAAAATACCCTCCAGGAGATGTTTGAAGACAGTACTATTTTAAACTATTATACAGGTGAGCTAGTAAGTAGTAGGCTGCTATCTGTAGGCTTAAGTGTGGTCATGTATCACAAATGACTCATCTGCTCAATGAGTCTGAAATAAGGGTTACCAGTTACTGCTCAAAGAGCCAAGGACAAATTAGATGAAAATCAGAGCAGGCAGAGGTTAGAAGAAAAACAGGAAAGTTTAAAAGATGTTTGCAGATAACAAAGCAATGCTGGTGCCAGGCACACAAGTGAAACACAATCCTTCCCTTCCCAGACATTCCACTGACACATACAGAAAACCCCAGCTTGTCCAAGTAAGGAAAGCTAAGGAAGGTTATATAACCTATCCCTCCACACATTTCTATTTGAAGTCATCTCATCTCAACTAACATGCTCTGAATTGGTTATTACAAAAAACACCAAAGTCTTTCTTCCATAGAAGTTAAAGGCCATAAGCACAGCAAGAACATTCAATCTAATAGCTAAGTTTTAGTCAGTACATCAGTCAGTCTCACTCAGAGATGGACAGATTGCACATGCCTTTTAAGCACCACTTAATCTCCCTTTGCCTCACCTTCCAGAAAAAAAAACAAACACATACTTCAAGAATGATGGGAATAAGACCTATTTAACATACTCTAAGAAAGTTGTTGCTATAAACAACTTCTGCGTAGTCCAAGAAAACCCACTCAAAACAGTACACAATATTAAAACAGTTTGCACTCTTTTACTTCCAGAATTGTAAATAAGATATCTAGAGTCTTATTTTAAGACTCAGAATTTCTATTTATGTACAAAACTACACAGATTGACTACTGAATACTACTTTGCCTTTATAAATACATTACTAAGTATTAGTAAAATGTATACCAGGATACCTGTTGTGCGAGACCTTCTCTACTTTCTGTGGAACTCAGAAGTACTCTGCGATTGGCCAAAGCCTCTTCATAAGGCACTGAATCTGCACAAGGCTGCAGAAGAATAGGGAAAAAAAATAAAATCAAAATGTTTGACAGTAAACCAGAATAAGTGTTCTACATTTATTTTCTTCTTACCCTCGTTACTTTACTAGAGGGAAGAAAAACATTTCTCCAGGTGTTTACCATCAGTAGAAAGAAGTTCCAACTTAAAAAAACCCACCTACTCTCCATCAAAATGCACACCTAATTAAAAGGTGCTAAGAAAACTATGTGCTACTTAGTGATCAAAAGTATCTTTAGGTCCACTTGACAGACATCAGAACATCAAAGGGGAGCGATGATAACCCTTAAGTACACCTACATCACCACTTAGTTTTTAATTTTAATAGGAACTGCAGGAGATTTCGTATTGTTCAGTCTTTCAGTTCAGCATATTTTCTCTATCATACTTATTTCCTAACATCTGGTTTCTTCTTCATTTGATCTCAACTGTCTTCAGTGAATGCAAATATAAAAATGATGCCATTCAATTCACATTCTTGGCAAACATGGAAGGCAGGTTAAATCAGTAAAAAAGATCAGCTCAGGACCCTCCTCAGTACAGAAGTTACTCATGGAAATAGGTAACAGCAGAACCAACACATACTGTCAGTTTTGAGAGCAACTGTGCTCTCAGATTTCTTCAATACCATTATTTCTCTGTTTCTCTATTTTCTCATTGAGAAAAATGCTTTCCAAATACTGGAAGCCACTGATTTGTATTCTCTTTGTTACAACTGAAGAGCAAGCTAATTATGCTATCTCTATGCAAGCACATGAACTGAACAAACCTTCTTCAGAGTCTTCATATAGGCAACTGCCTTTTTCTTGTACTGCAGCATACACTCTGCTGAAAGAGGGCTGATGAACTCTGTTCCTCCTTTTGGGCCATAGCTCAACGAAGAAGTGAAGTGATCCAAGTTGTTGCTAAAGAACGAAGCAATCTAGACATACCAAGAGAAGTCACTTTCTGAATTAAGCTGAACAGAATGACTTGCCAGAGCAGTTACATGTTTAAGTGAGGGAAAAGCACTTAGTGAAACTGGACTTCACATAGCTCAGACATCACTAAGGCAAAACATCCTTTTCAAGGTACCTACTATAATCACCTATTGTTTTTAATGTACAGCACAAAAATACCTTAGAATAAGTCTGAATATAGGTAGGAGTACTGAAGACACATTTACATTTCTCAAATCATTCTTTTTTATTAAAGAAAAAAAATGCTCAAGTTACGGCATTATATTTAGACAAAGTTTCCATTACCTTGCCTATTCCATTTGTTAAAGACAAAATGGAGGACAAAATACAGTCATTTGTAGTTATGAGCTTCTGTGTGGCAGTTGGAACATCTTGTTCTAGTGTAGCTTTTTGACTGTAGTGCTTGGAAATGTCTAGAAAAATAAAAACATAGATAACATTTATGTTTTTGTCTATTTAAGTGACCATTTCCAACTTCAGCTTGTGACATTGAAATTTTAATACTTCTACCCTCCTTGAGTTGAATAAATGTTTAGTCTGGGTACTCTTAGTTGTTCCATAGATTGCCATAGATGGTTGTTCATGATCAGAACAGACATTGTGTTACAGAAGGGAGAACAAAGAGACATATTTAAGTGTGCTCTGTCCCAAAAACCATAATTAAACAGGGAAGACAAGCTCCCACTGAACACGCACTTTGTTCCAAAGCATATTTTCCACTTCCACATACTTATATCAGGACACTAGAGACAGACATTAAACATTACTAACAATTAGTCCAAAGCTTATGGAACTTCAAAGGGTAGGGTATTAAAATCGCCAGGGCAAATCTAGAAGGCTATGAAAACTACACAGCACAGCAAGAGGTATTCTAAATTTCTTTCAGGCAAAATTAACAGAATTGTCTTCTGAGGGTGGGGGAACAAACAAAGAACATCACCACCACACAGAGAACTTTCTGAAAGTAATTTACAAAGAAGCATTAGTTTCACAAGTGAAGTTTCACAGGTACAAAAATGAGAAATCTCAGGTCATTATCACCAGAAGTTTTAACCTGATGCAAGCTTAAGGAATTGGAGTTACATTTGGGTTAGGGAAGGTAGAGAGAAACTACAGATCAATAATTCTCTTATGCGGGAGTCTGAGGTGTTGCAACGTTTCCATTGCTAACTAATGAGTTCTGAAGTTTTCTTCAGACTTTCTCAGTCTTCTTTACTTCTTTTGTTAAGTACAACTTACACTGATGTTATGTTAGAGAAACCATAACAAGAGGCAGAAGGCACACATCAAACTTACCTATGCTGCAATGCTGCCTGGTTTAGTAATTCACTGTGTTTGACCTACAAATCTCTACCATAATCATTTAATTAAACCAAAGATTCTATAAAATTAGGTAGTACTATTGACATTATTACTAACAGATTAAAAAAACCAAAGCATCTTGTTTAAATTAAGACCTTAATGTTTATATAGCTGACTGGTACCAAACCAGCTCAACTACAGTAATTACTCTCCCCAAAATAGCGACACAGGAACAGATGTTACAGCATACATAGACACACTATTGCTTTAAAACTCCTTGAGTGTTAACCAAACAGTACCCCATTAGAAATGCAACATACCCACGTTCTTTATACATAAGGAGAGTCAGTCATTTAGAAGGAAGAAGTTCTGTTTTAATTTTGAAACCAACTCCCTCATCATTTCTGGTCATAGAATCATATTTTAAAAAAAAGTGTAATCAACTTGAAATCTAAGAAAACTTCTACTTTGATGATAACGCCAGGTCAACATTATATAAACAGGGAATGCATACATACAACATTCCATTCTATATGTGTTCAATTACAGCAATACAGTTCAAAAACTAAGGTGCCACAGCTCACAAACGGCCTAGAGTGTCACAATTTAATCTTCCAGAAACTTACAAGAACTAAACTAAGAACAGAGTACCATAAAACATTTGGGGGTGACAAAAACTTGTACGCAGCAGGTTTGGTGTCAATCTATAAAGGCAAAACAAATCAGATTTACTATGTACCACACATTTAACATTGTAACAGAGAAAGTTGATGTTTGCTGTGTTGAAAGACTAAGGATGAAAACTGAAACCTACTACTACTCACGTAGCCTTACCTTTCAGGATGTCATGAGACGCATGAAGGCTTGCAGCAATGTTTGTAAACACCAAGCTGTAATTTGTTCTAAGCAGTCCTTCTGGTTTCGTACCTAGAAGTACCATGAAAAAGGAGAAAAAAGTTAAAACTCTATCATTAATGAAAACATTAACTCTAAAAATCTAAGACTGGTTTCTCCTAGCCTCAAAGCAACTGAGCCCAAGCTGGCACTTACTTGGTAAAGCAAGAAGACTAACGTATGTATGTAGCTTCTCAAAGATCGCCGTCAACCTTTTCATGTCTCTGTGTAGCTCCATATTTCTAGCTTTCAAAGCAGCTGTGCAAAGAGAAGACTCACACTCTTCTTCCAAACTAGGAATATGATTTTTAAACACACAAAAACACAAATGAGCAAATCTCTTACATAAGAATTTCAGGATCTTGGGGATAGATAGGTAGTTCTTTCTACACTGCCAGTCCAAAGAAGCAATAAAGAGGTTATTTTAGAAAGGCTAACTTATTGGAGTTACACAGCAAAGTTACAAAGAAATCATAAAAGCCTTTTTCTTAACCCAAATCCTCTTTTTAAGTCTTCTTTCGCACTGACAAAGTACCTCCCTTTGACCAACTCAGGAGCACACATTTTCACTACAGAAGGGATGTGCATCCAACAGTTTTGCTACACATACAGATTAACAAAATCTTCAGACAGGCCCACGAAATTAACAGTTCCAGTGTATAATATCTGCATAGTATCAATACTATTGAGTAATACAATTAAGCATTAAAGTCTGTACAGCTTTTATTAAAGCCACATCTTCAAGGGGAGAAGTTTTAAAATGTAGTGGTTCAGTTCCAATGCCTACTGGAAAAAATGGCAAAAAAAAAAAAAAAGCATAACAAAGGCTCAAGAAACAGTATGCAAAGAGAATTTCTGCCTTTAAGGTGCTTTAAGGTTTGAGTTAATATTTGAGTTGTAGACATCGTCAATGTTGCAAATCTGACAGTGCCCCTCCAATGTGATCTATTAAACAAGTTTAAAAAGTACCTTTTTAACTGATAAGGAAGAATCTTTCTTAAAAAGCATAAGTATGAAGCTAAATGTTCTGAAAAGGCCTTCAATTTCACAGCTGTTTCCTGGAAAGAAAAACAGTGTAAGTATTTCTGCTCTGTTAGTCTTTTTTAATACTAAAAGTAAGAAATCTTACCAGGACTGTCACAGTATCTTCTGTAATACTCTCAAACAACTGAAGCATTCCTTCCTCCAGAGGGCGAACATAAAAAGCATTTTCATGAAGATACTGTGAGAACTGAGTACAGAGAGATATTTGAGATGGCGCTTGCTGAAGACTCTCAAACTGTTTCACATTTAACAACAGAAAAGTCAATTTTAACACAGTATCTATCACTTTAAATGATTCCCAAGACACCAATAATAAAATCAAGTGATGTGCAGCCCCCTCCTCCACATGGCACACAGACCTTGAGGGAAAGCAAAGACAGTAATGGAAATCCAGGCAAACCCCTCCCATGTACTGCTCTGTCACAGCACCTTATCTACCTATACCTGTCATGCACAGTACACCTGGGTTTTTGACTGTAAAAAACTTTGTGTTACTTGCTCAACTACATCAAATTAAGGCTAGGTCCATGCACTCAGTAGGTCACCAAAACAAGCTGTGCCACCTTCCTCTCAGCTACTGTTTTATCAGCCCTTGTGCTATTAATCAGCACAAACACTTCAACAGTTCTGCTGTACAAAGTAGTGAAGAACTGAACTGAGTTAGAACTGACAGCAAGAGAAATGTATATATTTTATGTTTTCAGTCCAGTCCTCCTTGTGGGCAAAAGTATGCTTATACCAGTGTAAAGGATGGAGGGGTAACTGAGCAAAGTAGGAATGGCTGCTGTCAGCAAATGTGACAGTTAAGAGAAATCCTGAAACTCTGACTTCATTGCACTGCCCACCTTTCCTAAAATATGCTTAAATAAATGTTATGGCTAATTTATCCTCCAAAAAAGTATGCCACAGAACAGAAGTATTCACTCAACCTCTTCAAAATAAACACTGGCGGTACTGTCAGGTTTAAAAAGTTTAACAATGTAGAGATACGTATCACAGCACTAAAGAACCTTTTCTGCAATTGATACTGGCAACCAGGATTCACCCCACAGAAAGATACTTTCACCTTTGGTTATTTACACTACAACAGCAAGTAAAGATCCCAGGCAAACAGGGTACAAGAAATTTTTCTTATTATTATTATGCTGCAGTAACACAGTGTTAACAAGAAGAGATGCCAAGCTCTTATGCATGCACAAATCTGGATGGAATTATGGTCAGTTCTTAAATCTAAGGAAAAAAGAGCCGCATGCAGAAAGCTCCTGCCTCGTGTTGCAAGGAAAAAGACTGGAATTATCTGGCAAGATGCTGAAGCCCCAGCAGAAACCAGCAATCCAATGCTTAAGGAGAAAAGGAATACTTGAACCTGGAAAGGAATTGTCCACATCTATTTTGAGTGTCTGGTGGGGAAAATAGCTTGAAAACGCCAGACAAGACCTGGAGTTGGGGAAAAACAGATCAGCACAAGTGTGCTAAGTCACTGCATGATACTTGTTTCATTTTCTGTGTTAAGAAAGGCTTCTGAAGCACTCCGTGCAGAAGCTAAGGCCACACTGAGAATATCTGCTAAGCAACTAGGTGTGTTAATTGAAGACACAGGAGCAACAGCAGCTTCAGTGACTGACAAAGGAGACTTTGTTGCTGGGAAATCACCATAAAAGCTGTGAGGTAGGATGCACTAAAGCATTTAGCTCACAAACATACAAGAATGAAGGTAGGCTACAAGAGAATTCATGATGACAAAACCTAAACAACTATCCAGAGAGAAGAATCAGAGTTGGGAATAAGTTGCACCTTTCAGCTGTGTGAAAGCACTTTTATCTGCTGAAAAACAAAGAACTGCTGATTAGGACATTAAGACAAAAACATGCATGAGAAATGATGTCTGCGAAACCCAATTTATCTGACCAGAGCAAACAGCAGTATGTCTGTGGAATGCAATCACCACACTAGGCCACATAAACAAGGAGACTCAGTTTCTGCCCCGAAGAACTTGGAAGATAACAAAATTACAGTTTTTAAAAGAAGGATGTGTCATTCTGAGTATTATTAGTGAAGCAAGAATATACTATTCTCAAACAAAGATCAATGTTGAACCTCTGGGAAAGCTTATTCTTTATTATATACGTAAAAGGATTGAGAAAGTAAATTGAATAGGATTTCTCTAGCTGATAAATATCCACAAAAGCGTACTTGTTGCCTGTAAGGAGATTAATGGAGGCCCTTCTGAGAACAGAAAAGTTTTGCAACAGTTTACATTTGCTTCTACAGGTGTTATACAGCCATTCAATGAAAGAGATGAAGACTTCAAAGTCTGAGCCATACAAACTACTAAGCTGAAATCATCAGTTGAATCACAAAACACCGGGTCATCTAGCAACTTTAATGCATGTTTGTCCGCTGATGCTGCTTAGTCAACAACTCAGATGTTAAAGCAGTTTTATTCCAAAGCATATATACATGGACCTCCTGCACAAATATTTGTGCACAAAATTATCATCTGTGCTTCATGACATAAAAAGAAAACCTCAAAAGATGCAACTTGAGAACTCTGGAAGATATCCCTAAGAAGTCACCCCATTGAGTTGTGAAAGAAGAGTCAGGTCAGATTTCTCAATGTCATCATACTTCAAGTCATCGCAGAATCACAGAATGGCTTGAAAAGGACCACAATGATCATCTAATTTCAACCCCCTGCTGTGTGCAGGGTCGCCAACCAGCAGACCAGGCTGCCCAGAGCCACATCCAGCCTGGCCTTGAATGCCTCCAGGGATGGAACATCCACAGCCTCCTTGGGCAGCCTGTTCCAGTACTTCACCACCCTCTGCGTGAAAAACTTCCTCCTAATATCTAACCTAAATTTCCCCTGTCTCAGTTTAAAACCATTTCCCCTTGTCCTATCACTATGCACCCTCATAAACAACTGCTCCCCCTCCTGTTTATAAGCTCCTTCAAGTGCTGGAAGGCCACAGTGAGGTCTTCCCAGAGCCTTCTCTTCTCCAAGCTAAACAAGTCTAGGTCCCTCAATCTTTCCTCACAGGAGAGGTGCTCCAGCCCTCTGATCATCTCAGTGGCCCTCCTCCTCCATGAGCTCTACCTCCTTCCTTTACTGGGGGCCCCAGGCCTGGATGCAGCACTGCAGATGGGGCCTCACAAGAGCAGAGTAGATGGGGACAATCACCTCCCTCTCCCTCTGGCCACCCCTTTTTAATGCAGCCCAGAACACAGCTGGCCTGCTGGGCTGCAAGTGCACACTGCTGGCCCATGTCCAGCTTCTCATCCACCAGGACCCCCTAGTCCTTCTCTGCAGGGCTGCTCTCAAGGAATCTTCCCCCAGTTTGTATAAAAACCTGGGATTGCCCCGACCCAAGTGCAGCACCCTGCACTTGGCATTATTGAACCTCATTAGGTTTTCATGGGCCCACTTCTCCAGCCTGTCCAGATCCCTCTGGGTGGCTTCCTCTCTTTCTAATGTATTGACAGCACCGCTCAGCTCGGTGACTTGAAGCTTCAGAACACTTACAAGAGAGCTCTTCACACAGGCAGCCCAAAATAAATTATTTGACAAGTGAACAGTCTCCTTCATAAACCTAGCTTACATCCAGTTTATTTCATGTTGTAGTTACACCATATTCCATATGTGTATTACAACATATTCCATACCCCAGTACATTTTCCTACTACTTGTCCAGCTAAGACAAGCATCCAGGTAGCAGTGCAATATTTAAATAATCAGCTCAACTCTTCAACAATGCACTTCCATTTAACGTTTCAAAAGCAAAACTATGATTTGATGACCATGCTGCTGCTCTCCATGCTGTTATTTTAACAGAGGCATAGAGGGAAAGGAATCTTTGCACCCACCCCTTTGAACATGGACAATCCACCCAGCAGAAAAGACCTCCCATGCAAGAGAGCTTGCCTCTCAGGAACACATTTACAACCTTCCAGTAAAGGTGGCAGAAGTTTCCATCTGTGATTATTCACTCAGGAAAGTCGACATAACTGAATATACGTACAGCTGTAATCAGAAAATTTTACCTTCTGATTTAACGGCGATATAGTGTCTGTTGCAGAATCAATGGGAAAGATCTGGACCTTCTGCTCAGTATACGTATGAAAATTCAGAAGAGCTGTTACAATTTCTTGCACAAAAGACAATGCCTGGCCAGCAAGGTCTCGCAACTTGAGCTGTGAAAACAGTTATAAAAATGACTGTATGACGTGAACCTATTTAAATACAAAAAACATCCTATGTTCAGATACAAGAAAAAGGCTATGACTTCTTTCCTTCTAGTTCAACCTAAAACAGTAAAGCAATCATTTATAATTTTCCTTAAACGTTTTTAATATACTACAACACAATTTAGAAGTGCATGTTTTTCTTTGATAAAGTGCACTCCATACAACAAATGATGATTTTGCTCTACTCAAACTATGGGCCATAAGAACAACAGCAGTTACTATAAGGACAGACTTCTAAAGATCAATAGATTAATTACTGATGACAGCTCAGTTCTGTAAGCATGGCAACACTGAGAAGTTTATGACGACTTGCTGTAAGGGAGCTTAACTAGGTACTGAAAAAACAATGGGATAAAGGAATGCTTATCCTGTTCAGTAGAACTCAATTCTCCCACCTGGACAGAACTGAGCTGCTGCTCTCATTAGGCTGTTCTTTAGTTTTACTACAGCAGGAAGGTATCTGAGAAACAAATTCAAAATGGAGGCAGTCCAAAAAAAAAAGCCCACAAAGGCAGTGAAGAAGAAAACCATGTTCTACTGCGGATGTAAAAGACAGAATAGTATGACACTGCAGACAAGAATGAATTATTCTTCAGTGATGAGCTGGTAATACTTCAGTGAAGTATTAAATGATGTGAATCTAAACAGTGGATCAGGTTTAGAGGGCAAATAACAGTTATTATACTCAGTCTGTGTATGTCAATTAGTTATGTAAGGAAGGAAAACAGACCATTACAGTTTTTTTGCTGTCTTTTATGCTGCAGCCAGCGCTTCTACAAAAGAGCAGAGTCATAAAAATCTGTCCCAGAACATTCTCAAAATTGCAGACCATTAAATGTGAAGTTCTCTCACAAAGGACTACCACACAACTGTAAAGGGATAAACTCCATGCAGTTATTCAGATTTTTTTCTGGTACTCAGCAACAGGCTGAATTAAGACCATTTCCATCACAGAACTGTACAGCAGGTTGCCATTTCTCGATGCAGGCTTATGAGGAACAAGATCACTTACAGACATATCTCCAAGAAAAGGAGAAAGAAGCTATTTGAAACCCTTCTACAGAGAAACATGAATGCACTACCTCAAAGATTCCAGCTACACAAGTTGGACTAACCACCTCTGCATCATGGAGTCCATCCTCATTGATAGCACAGTCAGTACTGACAAAGAACCTCATTTACTCCAGTTAAATCCCTAATACATATTGGAATTCACACAGTACTGTGGTGCATTTTTGAATATAGAGCAAATCATCTTCCCAAGGAAGATGAAGGAAGTTGGTGATATTACAGCAATGAACTCAAACTGTTTTTAATATTTAAATGATCGATTTACTAATATTTAAATGATCAAGGGGAATTTGGCTGCAATAAAAAGTGATTTGTCTAGGAGTATTTCATAAAATGCAGATGCATCTCACAGAGTTCTCAAAATTACACGATTTATTCCCTGAAAGGATTACAAGCAATGACAAGTAATATTAACTAATATAATATTCTAGCGTACAACCATGCATTTTACAAACCAAAACATTCTTTGGAGCTCCAGTAAAGCAACTAAAGAAGCTGACTTTCGATGAAATGGAATTTAAGGTAACAAAACTTTCTGTTTTTCAACACGAAGTTTAAATCCTCTAAACTAAAGCATCTTTAAAAATAAAACGTTAGATTTTAAACAATGCAGGTTGGCGCTGTAAAAAATAATATCTCATGTAACTTTTACTATAGAAATACTTAAGCCTTTTTACCACTTTTCCTACGGAGGTATAAGTGAATTAAAACCTACAACAATCACCATCTGGGAGTTAATGGACTAGGTCTAGGTCAGGGTGAAATAAGCAATTAAGTATTAATAACCCAAGAGAAAAGCATCTTTAACAAGTGCAGAGGCTTTGTGGATAGAAGTTTTCTTGGAGTGCCAAGTGAGACAGGCCATCTTCTGCCACCGTGGGTTGCTAAAATGGCAGGTTTTATTCAATACCTGTGTAGAAAGTTACTTCTTTACACATGAAGTCCCAAGAAGTGCTTACCTGATATCTTCTGTTGTGCAACGGTACATTCAGAGCATTGTACCGATTAGATCCTACAGGGCAGAAATTGAGATGTGTACTTATTAAAACACTTTTTTTTTAATAAGAAAAACACATTTATTGGTATACAGCAATTTAAATGAAAATTTCATTGCAGTAACATTATAGTTCATGTAAGCAATAACAAGAAACTGGAAGAACTTATTTAATGAGGTTGGACTAATCACTGCCACTCAAGAATTGTTACTGTGACTAAGTGGAGAGGAAGTATTTCCATGTTCATCTTTTAAAAGTGATTTAATTACCTGAACACCCTAAATTTGATAGGAAACCTAAGAAACTTCTTGCACAGAAGAGCAGTATTTATTTATTTACTATGTAAGAGTGAGCAGTCTTTTTAAAAAATCCTCACAAAATTTAAGATCTGCAAATTTCAGTTACATCCCAGCAACTGTTAAATAAGATTGGCGTATTCTTCCCACTGTTTGTGTGCACTGAAAAGCTCCTCTACCTACATCATTCGTTGATAATTTAGAATAAGATCTACTCTCCATACATTTCAGGCTTTGTTTAGCTATAGAGCACCTGGAACGATTAGTCAAATAACAGATGAGCACACTTATAAAGAGGCAGAGGGATATTTGTACCCAATGAACAGCTTACAAAGCCTAAGCACTTAAAGAGAAACAGATCCATTCTCAATTAAATGCAATAAGCACCACTTCAGTTTAAATTGGCATAAAAGAAAACTTACAGCTTCTTACTCTTTTTTCCTGTTTTTCACAATGGAATCCCTAGCAAACAAACATTTCCTAACTTTCTCTCATTCTTCTGTCACTTAAAGGCTTTCCATTCCTGCAATGTTTTCTACACAAGCAGAAGTGTGCTATGTGATCATGGCAGTTGAGTAAGCAGATAAACTACTTGCATCCAAGATCTTGCTACAAGGACAACCACCTGTGGATATCAGCCAAAGCAGGCAGAGAAGCATAAACAGGAAGACAGTAGGCAAAGCTCCCTACTTGTGAGAGGAATGAAGGGGAAAAAAGGGATATCAACTGAAAGCACTGATATCTACGCATATTATGCTGTACGAGGGTCAATGTTTTCTAAAGAGAAGGATCTGTTTATTTCTTTATTTTTTCCACCCCCAAGCCAAGACTCACTGGATTGCCAGCACAGAACCTGGATGGCTCACCCTGCAGCACCCAGCCAGATCAGCTTCTAGAGAACATAAGACTATTTTGAACATTTTTCACAGAGCTTAGAACCTCATGAAAATGCAAAAGCTTCTACCAGTAATACCTATAAGAAAGACAACAAACAGCCTAGTTCTGCTTCTCCAAACTATCTTACCAAAACCAGCTTTTTCACTATTCCAGATCCTCCTACTCTCACTGCCAAAATAGTAGAGACTGACATATGCTTAAGCACAACCTCATTTTCAAGCTATTGAAAACAGCACCCAGCACTCATCTTGCACATATTGGTTTTGGTACCAAAATAGTCCTTCAGGTCAAAAGTCCCTGTTCAAAAAAATCAAAGTATCTTTTCCTTGGAAATATGAGTGAGCCCAAGATAAAAGATGAGTAAGTAGTAATCTGAGTGTTTCCTAATCAGAGGTGAGAAATGTGACAGACTTCCCACAAAGCACAGATCCTTACTTAAACAATATATTTCCATAGCTACTAGCTTATCTTTGGTTTAACAGGATTTTAAATACAATCTACAGTAACACCCTTTCAAATGAAAACCTGAACAAGTGGAGAAACTTTCATCTTTCACAATACTGTCAACACTAAGCAACACAAGCAGCAAGTCACTGGAAAGCCTTTTAAAGTTTCAGTTTTCATTCTATATATATAACACTTGATACTTTAAAAATCACTAAACAAAAAGATGAATGTCATCACAGAATGGTTTGGGTCGGAAGGGAGCTTTAGGAATAGAAAGTACAACTAGCACCAGGTACCTGTTTAGATGCTCAACTTTTCTTACATCTAATGCATTTTAATTCTTACAGTGCATTTCCTCCAGATAAACACCCAAAAGTAAAGAGGGCTAAAAAACACACACCAAGGCAATACCTACTTGTGTCATTAAAAGGTACTTTTTCATTGATTATGCATAGAGATTCTTCCAGTCGACTGCCCAAAGCTGCTTGAAGATTCTTTAACTGCTGCTGACTAAATAACAGAACAAAAACACAGAAAAAAAGCACCACATATACACTGTAAAACTTCAAAAGTTAACCTGTTTCACCACCACCTTAGCTCACCCTAAGCAACCCTTCAGTGCACAGGACACGTCTCTCTCTGATGTCAGAAAGAGGAGAGTTACAGTCATCCCTTCTCCTTTGTGTCACATTTCCAATACGTGAATGTATTTTAATCATTAACAAACACATTGAAAGATGCAACAAGACGCTGTAGATCCCAAATTGCATTCTCAAGTTACTTTAAAGTTGATCTTCACATTATTATCCAGTCCCACAGTTACTGTGTGTTGTATAAAAATGTTATTTCCTACTGAAATTTGAATGGGAATGCAAAAGGGCCTCCATGTTAACTAACACATACTTGATACAGTATTTCAACATACAAGCAGTGAAATGCTGACAATTCAGTAAATCACCACATCATCATTAGAAGTATCTTGAGAGCTTTTCAAAGCCCCCTATTTAAGCATTTTTACCACAGCACTTGTTCTCACAAGATCTTGCAAATTGTTCTGATACATTCTGAAGCAATTTTTCCTTAGATCTGCTTCACTTGAATCTGATTGCATACAGAGAGGCAAATCTGAGTTATTATGACTATTAATATCTCTAGGATAGAGATGAACAGTAAACTACTCCAGCATTATATACAAAGATTACTGAGTGTTTATTTTTTTCAAACCAAAATTCTACACCTTACCCAGCTTAGGCCCTCAAAATCTTCATGTTTTGTTTCCAGTTTGACATCTAGAACCCCTGCACATGTATTGGAGGGTAGGAGGAAGGTGTCAAAGCAATAGTTTGCTTTTTCTTTCAATAAAACGTTGAAATACATGGAATTTTATCAGGACTGATAAGAATCCAAATAGACAAGCAATATACGGAGAAACTACCCAGTAAGGAGCCCATGCACATTAACAAAGATCTTTATTGAAGAACAGACCCAAAACTGCACAGAAACTGTATAATATGAAATACGGTAGCATTAAGCATGACAGAAAAACTCAGATTGCAGAAGTACAGATGTTTCCCTCTTATAATATAAAGGAATGGCTTATAATTTATTTGATAAGTTTCGCTTCACATTTTGCCCCCTAATTTCCTAGGCATGCACACTGACAAGTATTATATCCCTCGCCTTTCTAGGACAAAGCTTGGATCTCAAAGGAAAATGGATCCCTTCCTCTAAAAAGCTGGGGAAAATGTAAGATAGTGCTTCCATGAAGGAATATTAAAATAATGATCTGTTGAGCACTGGACATAATGGCTGAAATCACTCAGTTTCAGGCTTTATTCTTATGAGTCTCCCTTCATAAAGAGTAGGGACAATTTCTTACAATGACATTAATTACCCAGTCAGACACAACAGCTATGTTTAAAATTGAAAGTAGATTAGGATAATGCTTTTCTTTTTTTCCAACTTCTCTTAAAATAATCCCCCAAAACTGCAAACAAGCTGCAGTAATACACAGCTTCCATCATCTTTTAAAGTCATTCACAGGTGAATTCACAGTGATCGTTTAATCAGAGTTGGTAGAATTCAACTATCCTTATACCTGCCAAAATAACACATACACTTCCAAGATTACTATTGCATGGAAGTTTTTCATCTGTCCACTGAGCATTACTGTGCATTTTATCCATCTCAATAAGGATCTACATGGCAATTTTTTTTTCTAAATGCACTACAATAAGGAACTTCAGAGAAATACACCCTAACTTGATCTGGCCCGCAATTTAATTCCCCATTTTCTACAACTTGCCTTCAATACAGTAAGACTATTCTAAACTAGTAACAGAATCCTTGAGCCAAAAAAACAGCAAAAAAAAAAAACAAAAACACCTCCAAACATTCCAGCTGAATGTTCTACCTACAAAAAAAAAGTTACTGTTCAGGAGGCAACGGAGGGGGAAAGTGGGTAGAACAAGAGGGAATTCTTAAAGCTCCTTAGTTGGTTGCCTTGGTATCTTACATAAGTTTTCTGAGGCTTTTTGTTGTTGTTGTTTGTTCCCCCCACCCTCATGTGCAGCTTTTAAAAACTCCTATCTTAGTTTCATGCAAGTTCAGTAGCCCCTTCACAGTTTATAGTGTTCAATTACAAGCACTCATCTACTTCACAGCTACCTAAAGCATTCCAGCAGACAAAATCATTTATTAAGTGCTGCTCTGGATCTGCTTGTCTAGACACACACAGAATGAAGAGGTCAAACCTGCACCACCTTGATGATATGCTGTTGCCTCGTATTTTCTGTTTATCAACTTTTTTTTTATTAAACATTATCATTCCTTAAAAGTAATCAAGTCAATCTTTCAAGCCAAGTTGTTGTTATATTAAATAAGAACACTTACCATTCTTCGGTTCGAAGCCTACAGTCCTTAGCTTCTCTTTCTAGTGTCTGAGACTTGATCTTTATGCAAGAAGATAATCTCACAATGTAATTACTGACAGAGCAAAACATTTCAATACTTTTTAAACTCGTCACGTAACAGAAAAGCTCCTTACTTCCAATTTGGATTTATCATTCTGCAGCTTTTCAATGGTATCTGTGTATTTCCTTGTTAAGCTGTCCACTACAGCTTGATGCTGGGCAGCATCAGTTTCCAGAACTTCCAGTTTAGTTCTCAGCTCTGCTTCTAAACGTTTATGCTGCTCATCTGCTTCAAAGTACTACAGCAAGAAAAGAAGAACCTTGCATTAGTTTCATTCACTGCAGAATCTAGTTCTGAGTTACACTGACGTTCAGTTTCAAAACAAGTACAAGCAGAAATTCTACGTTGTTCTTTACAGAAAAAAACTATTCAGGATCCAAGCACTTTCTGCTTACCAAAAGATCTGCAATATCAAACACTTAAAATCTTTCTGGTGGAATTTTGAGAAATTAAACTTGAACCACAAGGTTTTCTGCTCACATTTTTAAAACAAAGTGAAATGTATTCTCGACTCAGTGATGGCAATTTGCAGAAAATACATTAAGCTTCAAAGCAGCTCCAAAACCGTACGTGAATCTAGAAGTTTCCAAATCAGTGTGAGCCACATGAGTACTTCCAGTAGATTTTCACCTTTTCGTGACAGCTAATTTAAGTGAGAAAAACATCATTATATGAAATATTTCACACATGGTCTTCAGAACCTGAAGTGAAGATACTTTCTTGTTTGACAGGGGAAGATATTTATAAGCAATACAGTCGGATCTAATCTACTATTGTGCATGCAACGAAATGCCTAAGTACACTACATTTTTAGGTGCTGTTTTACTCTCTTCATCATTGTTTGTGTGACTAGTTTTATCAACTAAAATAAGATTGAAATCTTACAAGTATATGCAGTCGTTCGTTCTCTTCTATCTTCTTCTGAAGATCCTCATTGAAGACACTTTTCTGCTCTTGACTCAACTGAGATGAAGATTCTGCACTTTTCTAAAGGAAAACAGATGCATGCATCATCCCCAGGTATGTGGGGGTATCCCAAAGCACAATCTCAGGTGATTGAAAACGCATTGCAATCACCAATGTCCAACAGAAGCACATAAATATGTATTCCACCGAATCAAATATCTCTAACACCACGCAATATTGCACACAGCATTAGCTTCAAAGCAGCGCTTTTTCCTTCACGCTGTTTTTACTGTACTGAAGTAGAATGCTCATTTAGGGACGACTCAGGAAGCCTCTACACAGACTCTACATTCACTCTCATGAAATGGCTTCCATAGCAGGTTCAGGACATTACTTGAATCTCGCATGATTCCAAGCAGTCAGTAACATTAAAATCTATGCTTCCTTAGTTCCAGGACCTACATATAAGGCACATTTCCCCCCATCAAGCATCCATTAAGCTGGCCTGGTCATACAAAAGATGAGGAACAACCACAGGAAGCACTCTACACTCTGCCATCAAATAGTGCAAAGAAGCACAGGAGAGCACAAAGACTACAAAGTAGGACACCTGAAACACAGGCATATATTCCCCTCTTTTTAAAAGGGCTGCAGTCTGACACAAATCATCCATCAGAAACAATCTAAATAGATCTAGATGCAATCTACTTCATCCCCCATCAGCAAGAATCATAAGGATGACATAGAATTTAGTACACTTATATTCAATAGATCATACTCAGAGAGACTCAACAGGTAAAACTATCTTTTAGATACGTTCCATTTAATATAAAGACACCTTACAATACTACAGAACTGGGTATTCTGGTAGTTGAATACAAAAGGAAAAAAAAAAGTCAGTGGTGATGGCTCACAAAGCTCTTCAAGCCAGGCTGAGATCCTTCCAAATTTGGAAACGTCTAGAGAAGCAGTAGGTAACATAACTTGAAATAAGAAAAGGACCAAACTGCATTTTGAAGAGTCCACTGTGGTTAATAACACAAATAGAGGCACTACACTTCTCAATCAAGCAGATAACAATGCAAAGGTGTTTAGGGAAAAGAAAGGAAGATGAGCATATCATTAATCAGTTGAGTGACTTCTTCAGCATCAGTCTTCAGAGCTGATATCGCACATTTTGAGGGATACCCAAGGAGATGAGCACGTACCTTGTTCTTCTTGCCCCTAGTTTCACTTAACGAAAGTTCATCTTGAAGTAACTCCACCCGTTTGGCAAGCTGCTGATTTCGAAAGGTCAGGCTGTCCATTTCTTGTTGCAATTTTCTCAGTGATTGGTCCTTCATCTTCAATTGCTCCTTGGTGATGAAGAAGAACAATTAAAAAAAAAAAACAACAACATTATTTTACTAAAAAAGCATCAAAAGAACTCATTAAAAATAGTCTTTCTTTCATATTTTAACCGTGACAAGTAAAAAACATTCTACTTCCTTTAGCTGCCTGCAGATCATTCTCAAGTAGATATTTAATTCTACAAATTAACCATTAAGAAGCAACCTTCCACTTTCACAATACCAGCACCTGCAGAAAACAATGAACACAGCAGCCACAGAACAGAAGTTCTTACTAAGCTAATATCTTTATTTTTCTCATCGTAATACCAAGTTCAAAAAACCTTCCATTCATCTTTTTTGCCACAGCTGAATACATTTGACATGAGCAGTTTTTGGATATTACCTTCAGAGATGCAGAGTTTGCTTGCTCATCCACAACTCCCTTTTTCAGTACTTGGTTCTGAGCTCGAAGCTGAAAAATAAAGAGATGCCACTAACTATGCAGGACAACCAAACAAAAGCCACTCACTAGAATGTGCATAAAGCATCATATACTTTCATGACAGCACTAGTGTGCACGCTTCTTACAGCATTCTGTTCAAGAAGGTAGTTCCAGGCAGAAAAGTTGCACCAAATTTGTATCCTGAACTGACAAGAAACACGATGTTATTTTACCAGCTGAAATTCCTGAGTCAAATAGAATAAAATACTTACTATCATGAAGATTAGTTACTAAGATACAGTTAAGGTTTCAAGAACTGTAAACAGCTAAGGAAAAGTCACAATCCTTGCTTGGATTCATTGCTACTTCTGCCTCTTCCTTCTTCTCCCCATAGCTGTCTATGACATTAAGAGAAGCTCAGAATAAACAGTTAAAATCTCTTTCAAGAAGAGCTAAGCTATACTTTAAGGAAAAATACATATTACCATATGTAGCAGCAAATAATCCAGAGATCAGCTCAACAAACAGCTGAAGAAAATATAACAAAGCATACAGGAAGTCCTCTCAGACTTTCTTATGGAGTTTACAAATCTGAGCTACAATCACTGAAGTGAAATATAACACTCAAGAAGACTCTTTCCCAGTCACTTCACGGAGTACCTCTACCCTGTGGCAGTAAGGATACCAACAGCATCAGCTTCCCATTTCTTGATGATTGCTTGAATCCTGGTTTCTTTCTTCAATGGTAGATTGTATTCATTTGATATGTTTTAGTCCAGCTGTTACAGATACAAATTAAAGGGGTTTGTATAGTCCTTGGGAACACCTCTGGCAGAAGCATATAAGGCAAGATTCAATGTGAATCAGCAACAGCACACCTTCTCTGATGACTGAATATACTTCAGAAGGTCAAAACCCAATTGACATCACTAAACACAGGCTTTCACCCTTCAGTATTCCCATTGTGTTGCTAGGGCATCACAAAGGTAAGAAAAGAAACTCGCAAGAGCACCAGAGACTTCCAAGCACAAGGTGTCCCAGCAAGAAGCACTGCAGTAGCTTTCAATTCCTCTTTCTGACACAGCCACTAAGGCAGCAACACGTGAGATGCAGAAATGAAACAGAATGAACTCGCTCAACTGTGCTGCATCAAGTTAACTACGCTGAAGTGCAATCCACCAAAGGCTGTCACACATTGAAAGCTCTCCAACTACTGCTTCAATTAGGGCTGTGTGAGAGAGCAAGAAGCTGTAACTCAAAGGGAAGAAAAGTTTGAGAACACAGATCCTTCTTCTGGACTGCTCTGAACTGAGAGGGAAAATTATCCTTTGCCAGATACTTCTCTTATCACTTTGTGAATCTATTGAGCTCTTGTCTGCCCCATTCCCTGGCTTTCACACCGTAATCAGAAAACAGACACATAGCTTTACAGATCTACTCTCCTTTTCCACCTGCATACAATAAGCCACCAACTCTCCAACTGATTACTTGCATGAAATGAGTTACCTGGAAAGGTGATCCCACAGTGTTCTGGGGCTGTTCAGCAAAAAAAGGAACAGGAATAAAAAAAAAAATAGTTCCCACAGAGATCCAGTGGAACATTGCAGGCTGACAGTTGCAAGACAAAGTTAAAAGAACACTTCTGGACAATGCGATTTTAGAAGAGAGTGGATCCAGTAGCTGAAATATTCCAAAGCTACAGTCAGAAGGTCCACACAGCAAAGGAATTAAGCAGCAAGGTCCTTCAGTTACCTTATCCCGAGCCATATTTAATGTCCAAGGTACAGCAGAACCACTTTAGAAAGCAACAAGAAATACGAACGGACAACAGCTGTGACAGACAAAACCCTAAAATCAGTTCAGTTTCCTTAAATGTTCCCACAAGGTGAGTTTAAGAAACACATATCTATCTGTGAATAATTTAGACTCAGTACAGTCATTTACAGCAGTTCCAAGAATAGTATTTAATGTGTTATTCTGTAATCTTGAGAAAAGTGTCAAATGCAGTCAGTGTCTTGTACCAAGCTCCTTTTGATGTAGAGACATATGAAAATTAAGTGCTGACTTTCTTTCTCAATGTTGTAGAAAAACTCTGATATTCAAAACCAAAGTTTCATCTTCTTTTCAGTGAACAAACAGAGAGAAGAGCTTTGGATTAACCATGACTCCCACCATCCAGGAAATCATTTCAAATGCACTGGAAAAAAAAAAAGCACTTTATCCAGGGACAGATGTCTTTGCAAACACTTCTGCAAGCAGTATAAGAAACAAGAAGCAGTCAGTCACCTCAGACAGCTGCAGAAGGATGGGAACAGGGGTAGGACAGGTGTGAAGTCAAGCATCCTCATCGCCAAGAGGCTGCAACATCCCTGTGAGCACCCCTACTGCCTCTGACATCCATATCCACCAGTCTGAGCAAACTCAGCTGCAGGTAAGAGCAGCACAGACACACACTCAAGAAGACGGCTAAGCTTCACACCTGACTACGAAGTGAAAAGCCAAGGGAAAGCACGACTCAGCTCGCCTCCCCAGCGCTGCAGAACCACCTGCTTGTCCCATACATGCTTTGCAGACGATGCCACCTCTCCTCTCTGCAGTTTGACCAGCCGGCAGGCGGCACCACCGCGCTCCGCCCGCGTCTGCAAACCCACACCCCCAGCCTGCCCAGCGTGCCCTCTCCTCATAAACAGGCGATCTCCGGCCCCCCCGTCATCTCGACTCGTACAAGCAACAGCCGGCGGGAGAGCGCCGGGCAGCACCGGGGCTGCGCGAGGAAGGGCCCCCGGCCCCTCACAGGAGCAGCCGTTAGGCGGCGGCAAGCAGCGGCCGCGCGGGGAGCGGCTGGAATGCTCGCGGAAAGGCTCCCGATACCTTGGAGTATTCCTGAGCCAGCTTCTGGTACTTCCCCTGCAGCTCCGCGGTGGCCGCCATCCCCCCAACCCGGTACGGCCGCACCGGCGCTAACGCAGCCGCCGACCCCGCACGCCCACCAGAGAAAGACGCACTTCCGGGTTCGTGCGGCGGCGGCGCAATGACGTCACCACACCGCCTCGTTCCCGCGGGGGCTGAGGGCGGAGCTTAAGTCGCCGGCGCCACCATCTTGACGCAATTTCCAAGATGGCGGCACGGAGGCGGGCGGAAAGGCGGGTTGGGTCGCGGGACCCCGGGGAGGCGGTCCCAGCGGCCTTCGTTGTCAAAGCAACGGCCGCCGGGCCCTGCGCAACGCGAGCGCGGGAGGTCGGGCGGGGGCCTTGAGGCGGCGCGGGCGCCATTTTGGCGTAGTCCGGCGCGGGGCGCTGCAGCGCTGCCGCTCGCCCGGGTGGGGCGGCGGTCCGGCTAAGGCACGGCTGGCGCTAGGGGGAGCCCCGGGCACGAGCCGGCGGCCGCCTGCCCGTGTGGCTGTCCGGGCTGTTGGATCTACCTGGCGCTTGGGTCATCCTGCGGGTCAGACGCTGAGAAGGGAAGGGTGGCCAACTGCTGCAGTGCGAGCAGTTTGCTCGCAGCCCGCGGTCTCAGGGTCCATTTTCAGTCTTGGCAGCCTGTAATTCCCCAGAGCCCTTCTGTGCCATCTCGCGGGTCCCTTTGTTTCAGAGCCACATTTATCCTCACGTTTGGCATTTGTTAAGATGCATGTACACCATCGGCGCTCTGCATTGCAACTGGTGCGCTTAGTTATGCCAGGCATCTCTCTCATAAAGAGTTCTGGTTTCAAAAATGCCTGAGGACGGGGGTGCAAGGAAAAGAAATAGTAAGGCAAAAAATGGTGCTACACCAGCGTGCTGTGAGCGCCTGGTGATGTGCAGGTAAAGGGCTGCCTAGTTAAGGATGGACATGTAAAAGCAATTCATTATTTTTGTGTAATTTCAATGGAATCATTATTTTCCACTGAATTCTAACGTGGTGTCTTCATAGTCCTTCAGCAATAGGCAGTGCTAGCAGTGCTAAGTGACCATTTTTATACCTTCTTTTCTCTTTGCTTCCTTTTAGAGGGAAGTAGTGGCCCACAATGGGTCCTTCTCAGCCTTGAAGCTGTGATGGTGTGTGCTGCTGTTTTTCTCATCACAGGAGCAGTGTTGTAAAGCACTGAATAGGGCATGGTGCTCAGCTTAGTAAATATGTTTGTATCTCCGCAGGAATCCGTGTGTTGGAGGACGTCACTGATCTGTATTGCCACAAACAGAGACTGCATGTTTTTAGGAAGTCTAGAAGAGGGCAAAAGCAAAAGACATCACTATTCACCCCAGTGATTTGCTGCTGTTCTGACTGACCACAAGAGCTCAAATAGCTTTACAGGAGTAAATAATCTCTAACATTTAATAGTAGACTCATATTACACTACTACTCCATTTTGTATTCCGTACTGAAGTTCCTAACAAAGTACTTGAAAGCACACTGCAATTGCTATTCAGCATACAGGGGTTAATCACAGCCCGCTTCACATGGCACATCTTTTAACAGCTCAGTGTGGTAAATGTTATACTGGTGAATTATTGAAAACCTTTACAACTAATGCTAAGCCTGTATTTTCAGGTTTGATTTTCTAGGATGTATCTTTCATGAAATGTTGGATTGAAAAGCTTTGAGCGTATGTTGCAAAATGTGGCACTCCCATTTTGTGATGAGTTCAAAGATGCTTTTGTGATAGAATTTTCTCTTTACGACTGACGCAGTGAATGCTGACAGAGAGGTTTCACAGCTGAAAGCTGGGAAAGAGAGCTGATGGACATAGGGTGTGTAGCTGTAGCTGAGTGAATTGCTTCCCCACTGACTGCTGCAGTGACTGATTGGTGGGGGAACATGGACTTTATCGACTGCATCCATGTAGAATAGCAAGATCCAAACATACGTTCTGTTATATAGGGTCTTTGTCATAGGAGATAATACCAGTTTCTTATAACACGAGCAGATTGAGTGGATCAAAAGATAGGTGGTCTTACTGCTGAAAGGCTGTAAGGCTGAGAGCTGACTTGAGATTTTTAGGCTCATCAGAAGCAGGTCTACTTCAGTGCATTTTGAGCACCAGGCTGGCCTCATGTATTTCAAAAATGCAACGTCTCCTAATCAGCTTCTCATAGATCATGCATGAGAATAGTGCTAGCAACATATAGTGTAATTTGTCACTGTTCTGTGGTGGTACTTGGTAAAAAGGTCAAGTCAAAGTTCCTCAACCATGTATGTAACAGAAAGTTTATTTTTTTACTTTCTCTTAGCAGATTGTCAGATTTATCCTTTTGATTTTGTCATTGCAACTACTTGCGATGCTACTTCCCCTTCTTACAGCTCTGAAAAACTTCTCTGTTGTGCTGTTTCCACTCAGGCACTTTCTTAATATCTGCCTTCTTCAGAAAGCAGGGCTGTCCAACCACTGCACTGGGGAGGTGCACAGCACATGCTGCTGCAGTGCAGCGTAGCCAGTGATCCGGTATGTAATTGTGTAAGATTGACTCTGTCATCATAACATCAGAGCAAGAAAGGTCGACTGGGTAGAATGCCAAGTAGCGTGTTGCGGTTTCCAAAGAACCCCCAAAATGTTGTCTTCTGCAAGTCCACCCACATGAATAGAAGAACACATTACCACAGCAAAACTTGAAGCAAGCTGAAGCATGTTGAACAAAATAATCCCTTACAAGGGTCATATAGCATTTGTGCTTGTCTTGTTGGCTCTCACTGGGGTGAATAAAGAGCCAAGGATATACAGTGGATCACAGGTTGTCCTTTTTTTACATCTGCACCCAGCAGCTAGTACAATGGGTGCTGAATTCTAGGCGGTGCCTCAAGATGGAGAATTTATTTAGGAATTACAGTGATTGTTAGGATATGTTCCATTTTCAGGCTCATTTATCCTCCACTCCTTGCTCAACACTGCTTTTGCCTCTATCTGCTTAATCAGAACTTGCATTTTGCTTATCCTGTAAATAGGTGCATATAGAGAAATAAACAACGAATGTATTTTCAGTCACCCAGGATGTTTTCTGTGCTTTGTGAAAAATAAACTTCATTGTCATCGCTTGCATGCTTTCAAGTCTTCACAACAAAAGGGCTTCTAAGGTCTGGAATAATTTCAAAACCTTTTGGAAAGGAGCCATCTTCAGTCTTCAACTATCACAAGAAATGCATAAACCACATCCTCAGAAGCTGCAAACACCCTAAACTGCTGTTTTGTTTCTGTTATCTTAGCAACGGCAAGTATGAGCAGCAGGATATGTGCTCACAATGTGCACTCGTTATTTCTCACCATGACTCTGTAGTGAGCCTTTTGTTATAGGCAACCTTTCACCTTGCTCAAAATCTGATTATTCTGATAAAATATAAGAAAGCCAAGCACTCAAAGAAGTGTGACAAACAGAAAAGCACTTCACAGAACAGTTTCATTATCTGTAGTCTTCACTATCATAATTTCAGGGTTTCCGTAGCATTTAAAAAAAGAAATGAAAACAAGCCTCTGCCTCTCGAGCCCCTCCCCAGCCCATAGGATAAGTAGCTTGAATCATTTATAGGGTGTGTGTGTGACCACAGGAGCGGTGCCTTTGCACAGAGAGAAATGACTGAGAACAAGAGTACAGAACAACTGAGCAAGCAGGGTGCCTGTGATAGTTCAGGGCTGACTTTGCAGCTCATGGCAGTTCTCTTCACGTGCTCCAAACTCTTCTCCTTGGGGCTTGCTTCCACTGCAGCACAGCCCATACCAGCCCGTGGTGCAACAGCAGCGACTTGGGTATCTTCACCAAAAAAAGAACAGCCATACTGACTTCTGCTCCACTTAACCCCAGAACTCTGCAACAGCTGAGAATGTTTTGCTTCCATTTTTCTCAAAGTGGAATTTTGTCTCATCCAGGCAAATGCCACCTCTTCCCTCACTCTACCATCTTTTGTTGGAGGGCTACTCGTATTCTACAATCTCAGTTCCTGCTTTTCTTCTTTTGGGGGAAAACATTGACCCAAACAAGTCCTGCTGCACTCACATTCCAATGTTGCACTTTCACAGGAGAAAAAAACTGCAGACAGTGTGCCTTATTTTCATTGAGCCAAATTAACCAATTTCATAGAAAAAGATAAAAGAGCTGAGGATTATGGAGATCTTAAAGTGAGAAGTAAACACTTTTTCTTGTACGTAAGGTGTGGACAGAGACCTGCAAGCCACTGAAAACAGCTCCAACTAACCTACGTGAGTGACAGCAGCAAAGCAGGAGCTGTATCTGCAGTAAAGGTGGCAGGGCTCTGCTTTTGTTTTCCCAACGTTGCAGAGAGAAGAGAGAGAGAGAGATCCGGTGGATTTGCTGGTCATTCAGGGAACATTTTAATCAGAACTGTTCCTGTTTACAAGGACTTGAAGTGTCACCACCAAAAATAGTTTAGACTTTCAGAATGAGCGAAATGCATAAAGATCTATTGTGGAAAAAAATGAGGAAAAGGAGGGGACATGGTTCCCCACTGCAACAGCCCAAAGAGAGCAAAAGGAGAGAGCCATAAGTGGTTATTCAAACATCCCAGGCAGAGATGGGAAACACAGACCTGAAGAACCAGAAGAGGGGATCCCCAGAAGAACCGAAAGCAGAGGAGCGTTGTGATCACACCAACTGCTGGAAAAGGGGCTGTGGGCAGAAGCAGAATTGTCTTTGTGTATTAGCATGGACTGGAAAGGAGAAGCAGCACGGAAGGCACAGCCACATTGGATCTGAATCCTAACAACAGGAGGAAGAAGAATCTTAGTGGAGTTCACAAGGCTGAGATGGGCAATATTCACATTTTTAAAAATATGAATGTTCCAATTGTTTTTGTTTGCATTTTACTAACATTTTATTTTTGTGTGCGTTTTCTTCAGTGTTTTCCCTTCCTTTGGTGGTTATGGTACTATGCAACAGAAGCAGCATTTTAGCAGCTGAGTGAAATACCTCGTGCCTTAAAGAAGCAAGCAGCAAACCAGAGAGCACTTTAAGGAGACACGTATTAATGAATCAAGGAATGACA